TTGAGATCATCGGGAAAATCTTCTAGGCGCACCGTTGGAGGGCGTACAGGGTTACTGGACGCGTCCTCCGGTTGTGGGAGAGAAAGCATGTCTTTGAAGACGGGAGAGTGCTTGACCAATAAACAAGCATAGACCTTGAACTCGACATTACCCGCTAGAAGAATGATGGTTCCGTCCTCAAACCAGTATTCTTCGTCCCGTACCGGCTGTCCTCCTGCATCCGAGTCGTCAATTGCCTCCGTGGCGGCGTCTTCTTGGACTTCGGTTCGGGCGCGCTTTCTTGAAACATGTGCAGACATCATGAGAGCAGCAAGAGCAATATATGAGCAGAGATGTGGCTAGGACGAGATTGGGAGTTGAGAAACTTGGGAACTTGAAGGGCGCGCGGGTGCTGGCAGTCACGTGCGATGTTGTAAGCGCCCTGACACATCCGCTCGCTTTTGCCGTATTCGTGTATGTAAACTTTTCGCGCACGTCGATGCAGTCGTGTAAGTACCAGGATTCGAGCATTGAGCGAAGGGTGGATAGTTTCCGCTGAAGATCGGTCTTCTGGCGTTGGGCAGACCTAGCTGATCATAATCATTCCAACAGGCATGGAAGTCGTGTAAAGTGATGACGGTCCAGAATTTTCGCAACCTAGACATCCCCTGGACATGAGTCCCTCAAACCGCCGTCATGGTTCTATCTCCGCGATCGTGAGACGATGCGGTTACAAAGCGGTGTAGGCTAACACTCGCGTGCGAGTAAGTACCAGCTCTCAACAGTCTCCGATGTCGGACGGCCCTATGTCCAATAAATACGACGTCAGCTCCGAGTCCATGGTGAACCTGCGTCGTTTGTGCCCCTCTTGCCACTGTATGCCGGACGGAAGCTCAAGGAAAAATCTCTCCGAAAGCTGTAATGCTTGTGTCTGGAATGGCATTTCAGCCGTACCCCGATGTTTGACATCGATGGGCATGGTGCAAGTCATCGGAGGACGTCCAACTTTGTACACTTCCCTCTGCCCGTTCTCCCGCCCCAGTTGACAAATAGCTTACCTCTCACTGCACAGGAATTACGACAGCTGACGACCGCAATTTCACCCCAATTCCTCGCAGTATCGGAGAATAGCACCCGTCGCAGTCATCCACGATACCTCCCAGTGGCCTAGGACTATCTACGCCCGACCTACGCCGACCTCCACCCTGGCGGCGCCTGTTCAACATGGCGAACCGCTCCGGAAGACGCTCACCGGTCAAGCGCGTTATGCGAAGCGTCAGCGCTCCAGGCGCGCGTCCCCGTCCCCCTTGCAGTCTCGAACTGCGTCGAGACTCTACGTGTCCTAGCCCGCAGCTGAGGTAGGTTCTGCAGCTCTATCGCGATCACAATCTGGAGATCTCGGTCTCTGGTGGTCGTTTGAGTTCACCCCTGGCGACGTACTTCTTTGCGATCCCGTCGTAACCTCCAAACCGGTCTAGCCTGCTTCGAGTCTCCTGGACGACCCCCAAAATCCCATGGCGTTGCATAGTTCTGACGTCTTTATGGCCCCCGTTTCGTCATTCCGTTCCATCGTTACTCGACCATTCGCCCCATGTCTGGCATGTGTTCAACGGGATATCAAGGTGGGCGGCGTGAAGCCACATACTCCCGTCTTCCGCATGGGGACTATGCGTCTGAGGAAGCAGGCTCGACCAACCGAAATGACAGCCTCGTACTCTGATCGCTCCCGGTTATCACCACTGTGTATCTGGCGAGCGTGGGTGACAGGGCTTCTATCGTCACTCGTGGGCAGACTGGTGATCAGCCCTCCGGCCATAACTCGCCTCGCAGCAAAACGCTCAAAGACCGGCCGGTCTTTGATGCCTCTCACACGCACCACCGGTCTACGATGGACACATTTTGCGTCGGCGCCCGAAGGTAATTCCGGAATCACGTCCCGAATAAACGAGGTTACCCGCCACTTCGCCGATTGACCCACGAAGCATTCACGCTCAGCCCATCTATGTTCAGTCCCCGACAAGCTTGCACACTGATGCGCCGAGCGGAACGGACCCCAGCGCCAGCGAAATTTCCTGATCTTGGGCGGCGTCTATCTCAGCTGAGTGTTCCGAAACGCGATTGCAAACTCAGCCGTCGTTCTATTCCGGAGTAAATTGCTGCCTCCACCCAAACGTCCACAATCCCCTCCAGCATGCTCAGCTTGAATGACGAGCCGACCAATCGATGGCTTATAAACTCGTGCTCCCCGAAACCACCCCCCTCTCCCCAACCCTCCCAACTGATACCGCAAGATGGCTGCCATCTGGTCCCAGCTCGCGCTCGCCACCTCCTCGGCGCCCGCTGTCTTGCTCGTCGTCCTCGTGGTCCTTGGCGCGTACGTCCGGTTCCGCAGGAGCGTCAAGTATCGGTATCCGCCTGGCCCGAGGGCGTTGCCGTTTCTCGGCAACGTCCACCAGCTCCCGATGGACTACCAATGGCGCAAGCTGGCGGAGTGGGGCAGGCAGCACGGTATGGCGCTCCCTCGCTCTCCGGCACCTATCGGACACTCACATAAAGCACACCCCGCAGGCGACGTCGTGTTCGCGAAGTTCTTCCGTACCCCGGCCGTCATACTGAACTCTAAAGAGGCCGCAGTGGAGCTTATGGAAAAGCGGAGCGCCAAGTACTCAGACCGGCCGCCATTCATCCTGCTCAAGGAGCTGTGAGTTAGGCCCTCCGCTTCGCAGCGTGGCGTGGACGATAACTGACGTGGCCGCAGAATGGGCTGGGATAGCGTCCTGAACAACCTGCCTTATGGGGAACGCTTCCGCAAGCACCGGAAATGGTTACAGGATGCCTTCGCCTCTAAGCCTGTCGTCATGGGCTACCGCCCTATCCAGCGGCGGGAAACCTACACGCTTCTGTCTGGGTTGTGCGACAGCCCCGAGCACTTCATGGACCACCTCCAGCGGTGAGCACGCAATTTCCTTTTTGTTCAGACCAAAGCCGTAACCTCGGATCGCGCAGGTGGGCGGGTGCGATCATCCTCGAGATCGCGTATGGTTATCGCGTCACGTCGGACAAAGATCCCTTGGTGGAGGTCGCCGAGCGGACCACCGTGGAGACGGTGCTGGGCGGCAGTCCGGGTTCCATGCTTGTGGACTTCTTCCCCATCCGTACGTTGCCGATTACCCGACTGTGACCGCGACGACACCCTGACCGGCCTTTCCTACAGTACGCCATCTTCCTCTATGGATGCCCGGAGCGGGCTTCAAGCGGCAGGCATTCCTCGTCAAGAGTCTCGTCAGGCAGACACTCGACACGCCGTTCGCGATGGTTCAGCGGGCCCTGGTATGGTTCTTTTCCCATATCCGATCGGCTTCTTCTGACTGGGCGGGGCTCGACATCCAGAGGAGCGGAACCGCCGCACCGTCCTTCACGGCGACCTTGCTGGAAGAAGCCGTGGCAGAAGGGAAGCTAACGGCCGAACACGCGGAGGACATCAAGGGCGCAGCAGGCGTAATCTACACCGGTACGTACACCACGACCTGCTCCCGGCATTAGTGGCGTTAATGTGATATTCGCAGCGGGCACCGACACGGTATGTGTGGTCATAGAGTTCCAAGTTCCACGTTCCTCGCCCCGCAGCAAACCTAAGAGCCTCATGTTCCCGTGCTAGACCGTCACCGCGCTGAAGACGTTCATCCTTGCCATGGTGCTGCACCCGGAGGTGTACAAGAAGGCGCAGGAGGAGATCGACCGTGCGATTGGCCGGGAGAGGCTACCCGATTTTGAAGATCGCGAACAGCTGCCTTACTTGGAGTGTGTGCTGAAAGAAGTCTTCAGGTACGTGTAAACATGTAGCGTGGACCGTGCTTTGCCGACGAGTCACGACTCGGGTCCGGCGTTTCCTCCTCATCATTCACTGACCCCTTCTTCCTTCTCCGTGCCTAGATGGAACGCGCCTGTTCCCCTCGGTTAGTACCATTGCCACGCCACACCATGCGGACCAGTCCGTAGCTGACCCGCTTTGGGATAGGCGTGCCACACAGAGTTAGCCACGACGACGTGTACCGGGGGTACGATATCCCGCAGGGCGCGATGGTCATCCCGAACATCTGGTATGCGTACTATATAGCTGTCCATGTCAAACTGTAACTCGTCTTCCTGACCTAGAGCTGAAATAGGTGGATGACCCAAGACCCTGAGGTGTATCCTAACCCGGCGCGCTTCGACCCTGACCGGTACCTGCACATGTCTGCGGAAGAGTCCGAGCGGACGGACCCGCGCAACGTCGTCTTTGGGTTCGGTCGACGGTGAGTCATGATTTATCCTGGCTTCGACGTTGCCGTCACTCTGTCCTCATGCACGTCGCTCATCTCTCTCGCTCTCACTCTTTAGGGTGTGCCCCGGTCAGCTCTTCGCAGACGCGAGCGTGTGGCTCGCAGCAGCGAACATCATCGCGACCATGGACCTCACATTCGCGAAGGACAACTTCGGGCGCGACATCATCCCCGAGCCTGCCTTCATCTCAGGATTCGTCAGGTACGTTTGCTTCATCATCCACCACCGCCACCGTCCACGCCCGTCCGTCTCAGCGCTGACATCGGCATACCATACCAGCCATCCCAAGGCGTTTACATGCTCCTTCCACCCGCGCTCGGACCGGATACGGGGCCTCATCGCACACATGAGCGCGGTCAACATCGTCACCTCTTGAGCGATCCACGAATATGATTACGCCTGCTCAAGCCCCTTGTTGTTGAGCGATTATGAACATTCTTCCCACTTATAGTGTACTCGAGTACGATTTACGGCCTACACTCTACAGATACCCCTGGATTATGTCGCCCTCGAAGGTTGGTTTTCGGAATACTGGGACGCAGCAGCTACGGCATCATTGATGGCCACCGTGTATTGATTAGGATTAGTACTACTTTGATATCCACTGTTCTGGCCCTGAGCAGAAGTTGCCCTTTCGGCGACGCCTCCCGCCGCGGAACAGCCGGTGTTCTAAATTACACACACGACCAATACATTGCACACTGATGGTGAAACGGTATCATGCTTGCCTTCCACGCCTTGGGTAGCAAGCGGCGTGGGTTCGACTCCCGCTCAGTGTAATCTTTTCGTCGTCATATGATTTTGCCGTTGCGCGCGGAACTGCTCCTGCCTATGTGCGTTGTGTGCGTTGTGCGTTGTGCGTTGTGCGGTGTGCAAGGAATGTTGCGGCTTTGAAAGGGAACCCAACCACACCGACGGGACCTGTGTGTACATACATCTCGACATGTTACAGCTGGCCAGGAAACGATAGACCGCTTCCGGGAAACGCAGCTTGTGGGGTTCGTGTTTGTCCGCTCCATGGGACAGTAAGCAATAGCCAATGGGCACACCTACACACGCGTCTAGATGGAGGAGGTCCATCGTCACTAGATACATATGGGCGCGCCCCAGCTTGCCGGTGTTTGTTCATAAACAAGGCCCCAAACGTGAGCGAAACTCGAAAACGGTCTATCGTTTCCTGGCCAGCTGTATACGCCGCAGCATTTCAACGTTCACCGGTAACCGAGTGCGGGCCATCTCAGCACTTAGAAGCCAACACCGAGATCCGAGGGGAGGAAATTGGATGAGATTCCTTCGATCGATCAGACACATACAAGACAAGACAAGACATACGTATACTCGAGTACTCGTACTACTCGTACATGGCTCCCTCCAAAGGTAGACACAAATGGCCTTTGGGAGCCTACTGATACTCCTCCAAGTTGCCAGCGAACAGCGAGCAGCGAGCAGCGAAGCGTTCTCGAGGCAGAGCACGCTGCAAGCTACTTCCAAGCTCCAAGCCGCAAGACCGGCGTGACCGTACACGCTGTTGCGTATGCGACTATACAGTACCATGACTACGACGACCTGAGCGCACGGTGTGTTGACAGTTGGATGTCCGGCCCACGAGTGGAGGAACTGGGACTGGGACCAGGCCGTCGAGGTCTTCCTGCCCTGCCTCCGCCTTGTTATAAGTTATAAGTTACATTGTCATATTGTCATATTGTCACATCGATCTCATCGCTCGTGTGACGCGCCACTGTGCCCCAACTTCGAAGTTCGAGCACGGCACGGGGGCTTCGCGTTCTCAGCTCCTTGCCGCTACGGTGCACGGCGCACAGCGCACGGTGCACAGCGTGTCCACTCCACGGACCAGTGTCCGCCCCCCGTGCGTGCAGGCTACAGGTCCAACGGTCAACCGCGGGATGGTGCTGGTGCTGACGAGGAAAGGATATCAGCCTCGGCTACGGTTTACGGTTTACGGGTTTACGGTTTACGGGTTTACGGTTTACGGTTTACGGTTTGCTGGTACTGGTACTGGCAGCGTCAAGAAGCGTCCACCCGGGCCCCGTCGATGTCATCCAAGAGGAAGAGAGGGGAAGAGGCGCACTACTTACATACCTCGGGACTGGAGACTGGATTCTAGACCGCGACCGCTTGACGTTGACCTTCAAATTCAGGGTGTTCGTCAGTGATCCCTTGAAGAACGAAGAACGAAGAACGAAGAACGACAGACACCTCGAGCTCGAGCGCACATCTCGGGTCGCGGGTCGCGGGTCGCGGGTCGCGGGTCGGTTCAGCGACGAGTCACGACGACGACTACGACGCCTCTTCTACGCGCTCAAGCGCTCAAGTCCACAAGTCCAAGTGCGAGGTGAAGCCGAAATTGAATCAAAGTCAACGATGCGACGCTGAACGGGACTGTTGCTCGATCGGCTGTACTGGTGGTAAGCGGTGAGTGGTAAGTGGTAAGCGGTAAGTGGTAAGCGGTGAGTGGTAGGTGGTGAGAAAAGTGCGTATACGTGGACGCGTGGATGATGGGGGACATGGACATGGACATGCATACAGTATAGGTGGGTAGGACTCAGTACTCACCATTCGACTCGGCTCGACTCGGCTCGGACATTCACGTTCACATGATCATGATACCCGTCCTTTACTTGAAGCTTCGACTCGACTACTGCGCGCACACATCCACACACACACACATCCACACGCACACACAATGACGACGTCGCTGACCGTTGAACGTTGAACGTTGGACGTCCGCATGTCGCACGGGCCGATCAGTGACTCGGATGCCATTGCAATTTGCAATTTGCAGAGACAGCACACCGACTCCCGACTCCCGACTCCCGACTCCCCGAGAGAGAGCGATCCACCCTCGAACTCGAACTCACCCATGCTGGGGCCCGGGGCCCGGGGCTCCGCGAGGAGCAGATACGGCCACGAGAGGTACCGGTGTCCGTCGCATGCCCGAGCTCGAGGAGATGTGATACAGGTACAGGTACAGGAAACCGAAGAGGCAGTGGACACCCTTCCTGTCTCTGTCTGTCTGTGTGTGGCGTGGGAGGAACTTGCACTTACAGACACCCTGAACATGGCGGCCGCCGGCGACCTCCTACCTCCACACGCTCAGGTCCACTCGGGGGGGAGGGGGGGCGGAGGACCTCCAGTGTCACCGTCACAGAGGGTCGCGCGGGTGACCGGTGAGGGTCCGGGCAGTCGGGCTTGTACATGCTGAGGAATCCGGAATCCGGACGGCCCGCACTGCCCGTGTCAAGCCTGGCAGCACGTTCACGCATTCACGCGGCGGGTTCGTCCGGCGTCCGGCGTCCAGAGTGAGAGAAGGACGGCATCCATCCTGGGACCCTGGGACCTGGGCGAAAGGCAAGAGGCGAGAGGCGACCCCGACCGGACAGTGGAAAGACTTGGAGAGCTTACATACAGGAGGTTCGACGTTCGACGTGTCCGACCGGCCAAGAGGTGTACGTGTGCCAGTACTCGGACCGCGCGAGGTTATCTCCCCCGCCGCCTTTCCTCCAGTTTCGAGTGGATAGAATGCAGGATGAATTATCCACCTTTTGGACCGTTTTCCTGTGAAAGCTGAAAAAGGTTAACTGCGTACGCGCGGGTTGGTTATCTCGACTGTTCGCCGGCCTGCCTGAAACGCTCGGATGCTTTCCGTGAACGTTGAAGGAGACGAATGACGATGTGCATGACGCTGTGGCGCGTCCTAGAGCCTAGAGGCGGGTCGGCGTTCTGCGTTTGAGAACAGAACTAGTACTCCTGAATCAGAAGTCATGCCGGACAGGGAACGTAAGTAGGAAGGACCCAGTGGGCGGCCGGGCAGGCGATCATCGCCTTGACAACATCGCTGTTTCTTGTCACAGGTCGCACACACAACCTACTTACTCATGATATCCCGGACGGTCGACTGACAATGCACGAGAGTCGGGAATTGCAAGCTTGCAAGTGCGCCGGTCGGGGATGGTTGTCTGGTCATGGGTCCGCGTCTGTTCCTGGGGGAAGAGCTTGGGTTGCCGGGAGTCAGAACAAGAGCCGTCGACTAGGTGTAGGATTTGTTATGTGGGTGAGAACCGGTGTCGCAGTAAGCAAGGAGTGTGGGCGATCATGCGCACGGTCGGTCCGCCAGAAGGGAGACTTGGCGCGGCGCGAGGACAGCCGGCGGCAGAGGGTGGAGGGTGGAGGCACCGCCACTATCAGTGATCGTAGAAGTTGAACGGGGTTACGGCTGAGTGTCCGGAGGCTCTGCAGCAGCACATGCACATGGGAGACGCGGACAGTAGGACAAGGGCGGTTAGGTAGCTACCACCGGTGGAAGGAGTACGAGCGGACGAACGTTGGCAAGGAATGGAGAGACAACGTACAGTTCTGAATCAAGGAACCGCGAAGCCTGTCTTTGCAAGGCGTCCCGGACGTGTCGGACTCTGAGCGGGACGAGGGCGGGAAGAGGGGGCAGCCGACGTCGGTTTGTCGAGGTCAGGAGACTCGGGAGTCGGGGTCACGCTGGAGTGTGGCACAAGGAGGAAGAAGGAGGACAGGATGATGGGAACAGAAGACGGTTATGAAACGCTTGACGGGGGTGAGAGGAAGACGGGTCGCGGCGGCCAGTCGAGGTAGGCTGGTGTTGGTGATTGGGCGCAGTAGAAGGCGAACATCGAAGGTGGCCTTGCTCGGCGGCGTGACACTGAATGGTCTGACGCCGCGGTAGTCGGTCCATCCATCATCAGCTGAGCAGAAGCCGTCTCTGCCGTCGACGCGGCGAGTGCACCAGCTGGCAGTCTATTCACGTGCTGTCGCTGCATATCAAGTCGAGAAGGCGAAGACAGACGGCGAGGAGGGGTCGCAAAACGGCCGGTGGAAGAGGGAAGAGGGGAGCAAGGCCGCGGCGAGAAGGCCGAGAAGGAAAAAACACGACGCGTTACGTCACCCACGGGCTGTAAGCGCCGACGAGGATGATGGAAGAGGAAGCGACCCCAGACCGCCCCATGGCACACGCGAGCCCGTCTCCGTCCATCCTCAGCTTCCAGCCATGAAAGTGCATATATAATCCAACATACAAGCCCAGCCCCGAGCTTTCCCCGCTCACACTTTGCTCTCTCAACTCGCGCAAAGTCTGCGGTCGACGCCAACATGGCTCTCCTCCTCAACACCAGGCTCTCAGCCTTGTGTGCCCTCCTCCTCCTCGCCGTCTCTACCGATGCCCAGGGCCCGGTCAGCTCCCAGCTTACCTCGCTATCCGAGGTCTCCAGCGTAGCGAGCTCGGTCTCTAGCGTGCTCTCAAGTGCCACCGCGTCGGTCTCCGTGTCGACCCTATCCAGCGTTGCGTCCAGCGCCGTTCCCAGCTCCGGATCTAGCGCGTCCTCCAGTGCGCTCTCCACCGTTTCCTCCCCGGTCTCGGAGAGCATCAGCGCGTCCGTCTCGACCCTCTCCTCCGCCGTCACCTCTGCGGTGTCCTCTGCCGCTACGACCACGGCGAGCTCTGCTCCCGCTACGGAGACAAGTGAGTCCCTCATCAATTCTATCTCTACCTTTTCCATCATATGTTCTCTTCGACGTCCCACTCGGTCTTCGAGTTGTCTCCATCTTCATGCATGCATTTTCCATGCACAAACCCTCGGCCCTCTGGGCGTGCCGCCTCCGGCACTCGCTCCAAGGCATGTTCACACCCTGGGCCTTGCTCCACGCGTCGGAACGCGTGTACGGCAGAGCCGCGGCACTGGGTAATGCATGCTGGGGCGCATATAACGCTGGCACATGCACGTCCACCTCCACA